CGGACGCACGGCTGGGCGCCCCGGGGACTCCCGGCTCCCTCAGGAGGCGCCGCCTCTGCACCCGCCCCGGTGCGGCCGAGGGCGGGGAGCCGGGGAAGCCTCGCTGCCGCCCCTGCGCACCCCGCTTCCCCCAGTGGGCGGCCCCCGGGCTCGAGGCTGCGGCGCGCAGGGTCTCCGCCTGCAGCTCTGTGGCTTTGCAGAGCTCGGTTCTCGCTCGCTGGGGCGCACGCACGCACGTGGGCAGAGTATCTGAGCGCGCGGGGGGTTCTCCCGGGGCAGGGCGGGCTCAGTCCTGGCGGTCTGTGCTGCCTGGGAGCCTTCACTCCCTCCAGGATTGGGCCCACCCTTCACCTTCCCGACTGAAAAGCTCTGCTTTCCCCAGGAAGTTCCCTAAAATCACTCCTGGGTTCCTTTTGGCCTCTGGAGACAGAGACGGGGCCCCAGGGCCCTGGAACAACCTAGTGTAAAGGAGAGGATGGTTCCTCGCTGCACCACCAGAACCAGGCAGTGCCTGGGAAGGGAAATCACCGCCCCACCACCATCATATGCACAGATGATCCCACAGAACCACTAGGAGCCCCCCAACTAGGAGGGAAGAGCACCCACCCACCTCTGGAACACAGGGTCTCAGACATTCAGTTTCCTGGGCACCAGATAGAACCAGAAAACCCAATCTCGAGCCCCGAAGCAAAGGCCTCAACCCTAGTACTGGACTGGAAGCCGAGATGTTTTGTTTCCTCATCCAGAGCCCACCATTGCCTGCTGTCGTTGACAGGTCCCCTGTTAGGATGAGCTTCCACAAAGTGGATCCAGGTGACCTAGATTTGAAATCACCAGGTGACCATCTCCAGGTGAGAACACTAACAAACCCAAACTCAGTGCCACGGAGTGATTCCCAGGTGCTCCACCAGGTTTCCAGCGTGGTAAATGGAGATTGCCCATCTTTTCCAAGCCAAGCGGCTGGTGAATTTGAACAACTTTCTTTTCCATTCACAAGGCAACCCCAGGAAGCAAGCCATCCCTTGATAACTGAGCACAAGCTCAAGTAAACCCAAGTCCTGGATGTGATTGCTCAGTTACCTCCTTCCTGGACAGCTGGGAAGCCTGAGAGATAGAAGGAGACTTGATGGAAATAGATGAAGCAGTGAGTCCCTAAAATGTGACTCTGAACACTGGGCCACTCAGGTCCAGCAGCGGTTTCACCCTCTGGGGATGGTCTCCCTACCCCCATAGTTGGCCTTTCAAAACAAAGTAGACAGGTAGAAAGGGAGGAGGTTTCGTGCAGGTGAGGCAGAGGGGAAGGACTTGGCTGTCACAGAGCGCTGACCTCCATGAACAGAATTCATGAACAGAAGAACAAGGTCAGTGGTGGGGCTGGCTTGTTGTGCTCCTGCCCACCAAGGTCTCTTACCTGGGCAACAAAATTCAAATCTTGGCACAACATCCTTTTTATCATTTTATCATGGGGAAGTTACCTTTAAGAGGGAATTTAAAAGGACATATGACTTCTTTAAGATATTAAACAAGCAACCAAAACAAAACCAAATCTATTCCACGGAACAAATTCCAGCTTCTGAGGCTGTAAATCTTTATAGGAGAAGACAGCTCATCTTTCTTCCTTGGAACTGATGGTAAATTCGAACCACTAACCTTTGGGTTAGCAGCCCAATATGCAATGCAATACATTACTAGGGCTCCTTATATGAGGTGACATGTTGTTATTGTTAGGTGCCGTCATGCTGACTGTGACTCACAGTGACCCTACGAACAACACATCTGCACCGTAGTCTGTCCTACACCATCCTCATCATCTCTGTCATCTCAAGCCCGTTGCGGTGATCACTGTGTCAACCCATCTTGTTAAAAGGCTTCCTTTCTTTCACTGACTTTTCCTGGCATGATGTCTCTCTCAGGATTTGTTCCTCCTCAAAATAAAGCCCACTAAGTCATTACAGAACAAAACCAAACCTAAAACAATTACTGTTGTGCTGATTCCTGTTCATGACAAGCCCTGTGCACCAGAATAGGTAGTCCTGTGCCCTGTAAGGTTTTCACAGCTAATTTGTCAGAAGTAAATCACCAGGCCTTTCTTCCAAGGTACCTCTGGGTGAACTCGAGCCACCAACCTTTTGGATCGCATCCTGTTAAACACCTCAACTACCCAATACATCCAAGTCATTAATCAGAGGTTTAGCACATAGCACTTATGACCAGGGTGCTCCTTAAAGGCAGGGACAGTGAAACATTGTCTCACACACTTTGGGGACTGTTGTCTGGAAGTGCCAGTCCTTAAAAGTGATGCCAAGCTGAGAAAAGCAGAGGGGCAGTGAAAGAGGTCTCTCAGTGAGGTGGACTGACACAGTGGCAGCAACCATGGGGTTGAGCGTGACACAGGGTGTGGGGATGGCACAGAGTGCAGGGACGGCACAGGGTGCGCGGACGGCACAAGAGAGCGCAAGGCTTCAATCTGTTGTTCAGACTCACTACTTGTACTAGACTCAATGGCACTTAATAACAACAATGTGAGACCTACCCATTTCCTGTGAAAGTTTATCTTCCATAATGTTTATAGCCTTCAAAACCCAGCTAGGGCATCAGCTAGAAGTCATTTCCCACTCAGTGGCAATGAATTTGAATTTTCATTTGATCCTTTCAAATTGCCATCCTGTGTGTGTTAGTGATCTGCCTTTGACAAGGAATTCTTCCCAGAGGAGCTGGTGCCCTGTTCAGAGCGCTCTGTGAAAACTTCCTCCTTATCTTCCTGCAACTTCTGTCAATGCACTAGTCCCACCCCACACATGCTCCCACCACCTGCCGACCACCAACTGGTGAGATCTAGTCACAACTCCTGCAATGGCAAGCAGCACATGGCTCACCCAAAATTTACTTAAGTGAAAAGAATTAATGGTTCTTCAAAAAAATTATAAGTCTGGGTGTAGGTCTTGCTTATGACATAGCTAGATTCAGGGTGTCAGGACCACATCCTTTCCAATTCTGCTGTCTTCCACCACAATGATTTAGAACTTGGGTCTCAGGTAGTTGCAAGATGGCTGTAAGACTGTCAGTTTTTCATCTCTCAAGGTCACGGCAGGATAGACTGTGGTCCCAACAAACCCTCCAGCAAAAGTCTAATTGAATGCCATAGGCCTTGTCCAGATCTTAAGCAGTCATCATTGCCAGAAAAGTGTGAAGATTGATGTTTTGGGTATAATCACATCCTGAAGTGAACCCACAACCAGAGAGCTGGTTCTTCGAACTAAGGGAGGTTCAAGCCTTTTTGATAGAGAAGCAAACATCCAAGAACCAGGATATCCCTATTCATGTCCCAACCATGTAGCATGAAGAGAGTTAGCATGCCTCCCTGACTTCATGTCCAACCTCAGACTCTTCAACTAGTAAAAGTATCATTCTGAATGTTTTGCAATAAAGCCGCTCACCTGCCTTCATCAATGCCGACTCACAGAATTGCCTTCAAAGCTCCAGCACCGTCCCTGACCCTTGTCTTCTGCTTCCGATCTGCCTTCTCCACTCGCTCCCACCATTCTGTCAGCTACCTCAGTGGGCTTTTTCATTTATCAACATCTGTTCTTGAGAGAAGGCCACGTTCTTATTTTGTGAATAAGCCCGTGACTTTCTCACAGGCTTATCCTCATGTTGTTGTCGGTGCCACTGAGTCAGCTCCACTTGAAGCAGCCTTATGTGTAACAGAGCAAAGCTCGGTCCAGGCCTGTGGCATCCTGCATTTCAGCCATTGTTACTGCCCCGTGTCAGTCTATCTCCGTGAGGAACTTCCTCTTTTTCATTGACCTTTTAATTTCTCAAGCATGTGACCCTCTCCAGAGAGACTGGTCCTTCCAGATAACCCGGTCAAAGTATGTGAGACAGCCCAGGATAGGGCGTTCTTGCTTCTATGGCACATTGAGGGGGCACTTCTTCCAAGAAGTACAGCTCGCATCATGAACTTTATCATTTAAGACAGGTTTCTCTTGAAAGGCAGACAGGCTCTGCTTCCCATGAAACAGCTATGGGTCTGTTCTGACTCAATGGTACAAGAACAAGATAGCGAGTCGTCGGGCATATGCAAATCACACTCACAATAAAATTTCACTACACAAAAAGCAGAATGACAGGAAAAGAAAAAAACTGACAATCAATCCTGGTTGGCACAGATATAAAACTGCTCAAACTCCTATACATTGTTAAGCATGTAAAATTTATGACCAATTTGGGATCAATTTAGCTCTTTTATAAGATTATACATCA